TGAAATTAAGCCGATGAGCCATACAAATAAGCTATGGGAGAGAGTCATTGAGCACCGCTTAACAAGAATGACAAGCGTGTCCAAAAATCAGTTTGGTTTCGTGCCAGAGAGGTCGACCATGGAAGCCATTTTCTTGGTACGATAACTTATGCAGAGATACATGGAGCAAAAGGAGGACCTGCATATGGTGTTCATTGGCTTGAGAAGGCCTATGATAAGATACTGCTGAATGTTATGTGGTGGGCCTTGGAGAAAAACAAAATCCCAACAAAGTACATTACCCTCAGCAAGGACATGTACGATAATGTTGTGACAAGTGTGCGAACAAAGTGATGGCGACACTGATGACTTTTCGATTAAACTAGGACTGCACCAAAAGGGTCAGCTTTGAGCCCTTAACTTTTTTGCTTTGGTGATGGATGAGGTCACAATGGATATACAAGGAGATATCCCTTGGTGTATGCTCTTTGCAGATGATGTGGTGCTAGTCGCCGATAGTCAGATGAGGGTTAATAGTAAGTTAGAGCTGTAGAGACAGATTTTGGATCGAAAGGTTTTAGGCTTTCTAGAACTAGAACCGAGTACATGAGGTGCAATCTCAGTACTACTATGCACGGGGAGGAGGTTAGCCTTGGTGGGCAGGTGGTACCTCAGAAGGACACCTTTTGACATTTGGGATCAATGCTGCAGAAGGATGGTGATATTGATGAAGATCTGAGCCATCAAATCAAAGCTGGATGGATGAAGTGGTACCAAGCTTCTGGCGTCCTCTGTGACAAGAGAGTGCCACAAAAGATAAAAGGCAGGCTCCATAGGATGGTTGTATGCCGCTGAATGTTGGCCAACTAAAAGGTGACATGTCCAACAGTTAGGTGTAGCAGAGATGCACATGTTGAGATGGATATGTGGCCACACAAGGATCGGGTCCAGAATGAGGATATACGTGAGGCTTGTCCAACATCGTCTGAGATGGTTTGGGCATATACAACGTAGGGCTCCAGAAGCGCCAGTGCATCGCGGACGGTTAAAGCTTGTTGATAATGTCAAGAGATGCTGGGGTAGACCAAACTTGACATGGGAGGAGTCCGTTGAGAGAGATCTGAAGGACTGAAATATCACCAAAGAACTAGCCATGGACAAAGGCGTGTGAAGTTAGCCTTGTTTGGCACTAAAAGGTTTTGTTGTTGTTGCTTTAAGTTCAGTATTTTGACCACTATAGTTCTGGAAAATTAATAACGTGAGCCAAACTTTTCCCACATGCTGTTGGAGATGTATAAATTACACTGTTATATACTCCCTCCGTCCCAAAATAAGCGTCTCACTTTAGTACAACTTTGTAGTACAAAGTTGAGACACTTATTTTGGGACGGAAGGAGTATATCCAAAAATTGTTTACCTGCGATGTGTTACTAAGTAATTGGTCCTTCATGCGCAGGATATAAATCTCGCAAATGGCTTTCAGATGTAGACAGCCCTGATAGATCTCCTCCAGAAAATCTGGATAGGAAATCACATCTAAAAGAGGGTAGAAGAGGCAAACGGCGCTTGCCTTCGCCAATTCCTTTTGCTACTTCTAGTAAAGTTGATTACCTTCTTGCGTTCGAGTAATGGTTGCAGTTCATATTTAATATGCCATCATTACTAGTTCATTCAGGAACACAAGAAACTATAATGTCAGACAAAGAACCAGTGCAATGCCCAGATGACTACCTAACCAGGTCCGTTTTATAGGTTGTATAAAGAAATACATATTCGATATTGTTGGTCGGTCCAATTTCATTTCTTCATTGTAACCAGGGCTTTTGATCAGTTACTGGTGGTGCTGGGAAGGTTTCAAACCAAGATCAAGTCTGAAACAAGAAACAAAAGTTCTCAGATACTGGCAGGTACTGGAGAGATAATACGCCAGCACCTCGAGGGAGTTGAGGTGCAGATGCAGGATGATGTGTAAGATCTTTGCCGGTGCTACCAAGAAACTACATCTTATCTGCATATACACACCTAATTGTGTGTGTGTGTGTGTATATATATATATCACATATATTAGAGGTGTAACTATTTTGACGCATTCAACTGTATTTTCAGGGATAAGCTGGTCAATGCAGGGAAATCTAAAAGAAAGCGACTAGAATCAACATTTGAAGGTACAACCTATATTATGTTACTGCAGAAATTAATTTTGTGGTCTGTTATTGTGAAACATGAGTTTTATGACAATTAGACCCATTAGTCAGAATCCATTCAAAAAGCTGTATCTATAAAGATATTATGTACTGGTGTTTTGATCCATTGTGCCACTCATACCTAACCTATTTGGATTATTCAGCTCGAGCAATTTGCATAATCTTATACTTAAATAAGTAGTAGATTTCTCATATATAGACATATAAAGTTAATCATGATCCGATTCCTGAGTTATGTAGGTCCGCCATATCCTAAAC